CATATTAATTTGTAAATGAAGCATGATTAGAATTTGAAACTACATATTGAATAAGTAATATAGTCACTCAAGCCTATTTAAAAGAAAAGTTTATAACATAGAAAATACAAGCAAGCAAATTTATTACAAAATATTTGCATAATTTCAAAATACTTTTCTAACAATGCCATTCTATAGGAATTATAATTCTAGCTCAAATGGAAATTCTAGCTCAAATGAAATTTATACCATCTCAATATGGAATTATCATCCAAATATTAAAAACAACTAAAACTGCTATCTTATTAATATTATATATATATATATATATATATATATATATATATATAAAATAGTTATAAAAAATTCTTCTTTAGAAATTCAAGCTTTCTTTGTTGGTTGCAAAGTAAAAAGCAAGTAGAAACTCTGTCCTATAATAAAAATTACCACAATAGACTTCAAATTTATTAAAATCAAGACTAAACCAACAATCCTATGTCTTCATTTCAAAAAGATGGAATATTAGGTCTTTGGCTATTTTAAAAACATAAAAAAGTTATTGCAAATATTATCATAATACAATATTCATTCAAAAAAATAAAAATAAAATTAAAAAATATAAGATATTAAAAAAATTTCTCTCTCTCTATTTTTTTTTTTTTTTTTTTTTTTTTTTTTACAAATTTCTATTATATTTAAGCTCATTGCTCAAAAAGGACTTTGAAATTTGATAAAATCAAAAGAAATCATTAGGTTGTTGATACATGAGCCATTCATCATTTATCACATATAAGATATCATTTTTTTGACTTTGAATTTCTTTCTCTTTACAACAATAAAAAAACATCTTACAAATAACAAAATATTATCAATTTATAATAAAGGCAAAATTTAAATATGATTAAGAAATAGACATATCTTTCAACTTAAAAATACCCTCTATATATTAGATCTTTATAAAAATCTATTTTTTATAAAATAATATAATGAACATATGATAAGATTATTTATTAAAAATCAAAAGTGCTGCTTATTTGATTCCAATTATATAATATTTATTAATTCTTCTCTAATAAATAATTTCTATCTACTCAAGATTATAGTCTCTCATGACTCTTCAATTTTAGCTGATTTCATCTATATACGGAATATTCAATCTTTAGGCCCCTACTTGGTGGTTATTGTTTCTACTTAAGTCCGCACAAGTCCTCATGTTTTTTTAATTTTTTTTCATTGTCAACCAATCCATCCATCATTTTGACAGATTTATTGTCCATCTATATGTCTTTTTGCCATCACCTTCTTTGGTTAGCAACTTTGAACTTAGTACCATCAAATCTCCAAGTTTGCTTTTAAATGCCTTTGCTATTGTATCACACCTTGTTTTCAAAAAAATAATCTCTATAAGTTTTGCTATCTTTGATCCAAACTATTGACATTAGATTATCTATCTTTTGATATTTTTTTTATATTCTTAGATACATCAAAGCAAGGAAGAGAACTATTATTCATCACCTCTCAATAGCCTTTCTTTTGGCTATGAACTTTTGATACAAGCTCCTTCCAATAATGTGACTCTTATTCTAGCTTTTCTTTCTATTGCTGAACAATATGAACGTCATCTACCTCTACAACTTTTAATTTATACAAATGCCACAACTTTTCATAAAACATCATCTTCTTAACAAATCAATGGAAAACAAACATCATAGTAGCATCACTGTCTTATGCATATAAATACATCTACATTAAAATAACTCATTTAATATAATTTTTCTATTAGACTATTCTTAAAAAATATTCTAGTTTTAATTTGTTCAATTAGCTTATATAAAAAAAAACTATTACTAAATTTTCTAAAATTGCTACTTTTTATACCATACAACTTCTTAAATTTAAACATTCAAATTTAAATAGTCAAGTGGCGACTTCAACCTTCTCCAGCTTCAAATATTATATGTCTTTAATTGATGATTATTCTTGCTATATTTTTCTTCATCTTCTTTGACAAAAAAAATAAGTGCTTTGAATTCTTCAAAATCTTTCATGTATGAATTGAGATCCAAACTGAATTTAAACTACGCATTCTTTGATCTAATCAAGGAAGAGAATATTGTTCTTTTAAATTTGATAATTACCTATATATACATGGTATATATTATTAATTAACAATAGATTATATTCCAAAGTAAAATAATATTATTGAATACAAAAAATAAAATATTATTAAATACCATATATTATATACTTCATAATATCAATTTAACAAATAACTATTAGGGTGAAGCTATTATATATGAAATATATCTTCAAAATCAAATTCCAACTAAAGCTATTTCATAAGTCACAACTTCTTTTAAAAGATGGCATAAATGTAAACTTGATTTCTTTCATCTTTGTGTCTTTGGAAGCACATTCTTTACAAAAATTCTTAATCTTCTTTGCATCAAGCTCACAACAAAAACTTACATATGTATTTTATTAATGTATAGCTCTCTCAACAAGACTTATAAATTTCAAAATAAACTCACCAATGCAATACTAATTTCTTGCAATGGCGCTTTCTATAAAGATCTTTCTTATTCTCATAAAGCAATTCGGTCTTATTTTTCTTCAAGTAACTCTACTTTAACTCTCCTATTTCTATTTTTCTATCTAAGTGGTCTATTTGGCAATGGAGTCTTTGCCTTGATGTTTGCTATGTCTTTCACTTTGGATCTAGATGGTTCTTCTAGATCCACTTCTACTACCTTCAATGCTCCAATTCTAACTCTTTCAATGAGTGATTCTATTATCTTTGAAGATGCACCTTTGGCTTTGCATAATTCCATTATACATAATGAATGTATTCTATTGTTGCATAATGTTGTTCAAATTTTAATATCCTTGCAAAGTAATTCTATCAATTTCTTGATCTTTGCACCTTGTAACCTTATGAGTTTTTGTATCTTATCTTGAGCATAGCTTCCTTCAATATCTCTTGCATTTATACCTTTTGGGTTAGTTAACTTGTCTTCCAACATTCATTCTACCTATTTTAGCTCGAATTTTCATCATTTTCAAGATTGATGATTGGGCTTGGAACTCATGCCTTACATATTATTGACTTCTTTCTTACAACCATCAAATTTATGAACTCCAAAATAGACTGTAATGTGTATATCTTCTATTGGGATCTTTGTTTTGTGACTCTCATACTCTACTTCAATGATACTATGCTTGCAAGTAATGATCTTGAGTTACTAAAATGTATCAAAGCTTAACTCCATTCTCTTTAATAGCTTTCTAAAAAGCTCTCTATTGTACCAAGTGGAGTTAACATGAAACAATAGTGTTTTATTTTGGATAAAAAAAGAGCCAATCTTTCTTTAGGTTTTTCTTTGGAGGTATTTTTAAAGTATATTTTAAATTTGGATTTGAGATTTTGAAGAGTTGTTCTTGTCTATATAAGCTTTTTTAAAAGCTCTCAATCGCATCAATAAGAGTTACTATGAATTAATGGTGCTTTTTTTGGATAAAAAAAGAACTTGTCACTCTTTAAGATTTTTCTTTGGAGATTTTCTCAAAGTATATTTCGAATTTGGATTTGAGATTTTAAGGAGTTGTACTTCTCTTTGTTAACTTTCCACATTGTTATTCTTTGCTTAGTGGCTTTGTTTCTTCATAAAATATATTATAGAGAATTTTAGGAAGTGAGATTTGGTGTACTTATGTATATATTGAGTAGCTCTCCAAAGAGCCATCACATGCTCAAATCTAGTGAAGTATGGAGCTAGATTTTTGAACGCAAGTAGTTGAATGAAGAAGAGGTGACAACTCTTACATACTATCATAACTATGAAGTGGTGGAATTCATTTGAATGAAAGATATTATTTGACCATATCTAGTTGTAGCCATAAACTTTGTGTTTTTCTAAAGAAAATGCTTTCACTCCAACATTGAGTGAGCCACACATCCAAACGTGCAAACATGCATTTTGGTATATTTGGAATACACTCACCTATATTCTTTGAATATTATCTTATCTTTACTCTATCTAAACCTCTCTTTGAATGTAGTGATGTGGACTAGGCTGGAAAAATGGACTAACAATGATCCACCTTAGTCTATGTGTTCTTGCTCTCTGGAGGTGCAATCAGCTAGTATTTGATGCGCCAACATTCAATCGAACTTTCCAACATGGAGGCGGAATACATGGCCATGGCCACTTCCGCCTTTGAAGTTATCTGGCTTCACGACATTCAGCAATATGCCCACCTTAGTTTTGCAACTCTAATCCTTTATGATAATCAATATGCTCTTGTCCTAGTCAATACTACAAAATTTTACAATTTCACAAAACACATTACTGTCTATTATCATTTCATCTGACAACTTACTGAAATCCAAAAAAATTACTTCAAATATTGCTCCACTGTTGATATGAGAGCTGATATTTTTACAAAGCCATTGACAGGACCAAAGTTGGCCCCTCACTTATTATTGATCGGAGTGCTTGGAGGAGAACCCATCCTGAATCACAATCAGTTTAACCGGGCATGTTAGAAAAAGCAGTTAACTTAAACTGACAGTTTACAAAACATAACGGTTACATTCATATGAACGGGTGCAAATGCTCTGGGTGCACCCGTCTCAATGGCATAAAGCTTCATGTATTAAACACATTTGAAATATGCACACAATATATGCTTTATTTACTTGTACAGAACTTCTATTGCATGCATTACTTACATTTACTAACCCTATATACCTAAGTTCCAGTTGAGGGACTAACGTCGCAATGTTTCGATTATTCGTCAAAGAATCACAGCATGCAGCATAACGGTGTGCAGACCTTCAAGTATTCAGTGTACAGCACTTGCTAGCTGAAATAGCTGATTCAGCAAGCACATTTGTAATCAAAGTGAAGAGTCTCATGTCACGATTATCTCGTCGGTATTCTTCCTGATGTTACCTTTATCACCATGGCATCGAATAATAATATGCTATAGAATTCTGCAGGGACTTGCTCACTATTAACTTTCAAAATTGAGATCCCTGAACAGTGGTATTTTCGTGGAAGTCGTCAGTTATCCCGATACGCTGGATCATTATCACAGGAGCGGTTGCAATATGGCAGTGTAGACGTCATGTGAATGGATCGTATGGGTTATGTCCAGGGTTATGTTTTCCTCCCGTGCCATGTCTAAAACCTCGGAGTAATTTCAAACTATACTATATGTCAGGAATGCTGATGAGTGCCGAGTTTGAAGGATAGAGAAATATATACAATCTTAGAGGCAGAAGGGAGTAGACAGAAGATCTGAATGCAGCAAGTAGTGCAGCTAGGACGGAGGCTGGCGACCACCATGGCTACTATCAACCCCGCGGAAACGGCTCTGGAGCTTGTGCGCCAGCAAAAGAAAGCGCTCCGGACCATTGTGCGACGAGAGCTTCGTAATTTCCCGGCGGAGTTGAAGCGTGAGGAAGGTTAGCTAGAGATGCCGGATTCATCTACTCTCGTGTTTTTCCCTCCTTTGGCGATTTTTTCTTGAAAGTAACTGCTCTTGGGTTAATGAGACGTACCCAAGGTCTAGGTTTCTGTGAACTAGTGCGAAGTAGCACCATTTAGCGTCGAATGACACTTCTTTTCTTCTAGTTTAGCTGGAATTGGATTGACGTCGTGCGGGAGTGGCAATATCGTACTGAGAATTTGTGGGTCTTGAAGCAGTGGGCTGAGGGTGGCTTGTAGGGTCTAGAATTAGTGGTACGTTTACATGATTCGGGCTGATCTAACTTGGAACTGTAAAGCGATGATGAGCTGGTTACTGTGCTATATGGCAGATGAAGCAATCCAGAAGCATGTACTCTCTGCGGAGTGGTATCAGAAGAGCAAGCGCATTTGCGCCTACGTGAGCTGCGCGAGCCTTCGCGAAGTGGAAACTTCGCTCATCATAGCCGACCTTCTTGAAAAGCAACGGCAACACGCAGGTGTGTGATCCCAGTCATTCGAAGAGTTTTAGGTTTCAGTACCGGTGATTCAAATGCGATTTCCTTGAAATAACTTGCAATAAGCTTGGCAACTTTTTATTTTTATTTTTAATTCTTCTTGTGGGATCTTATATGCTGAGTATTGGAAGTATGTGGTCTAGTTGCTGAGGTCGTCAATTATGACAGCATGAGTTTTCTTGTATTTAAAAGGAATGAAAGTTTATGTGCCGCGAATTGAAGACAAAGAAAGCCATATGCGGATGCTGCACATCACCAACACCGAGGACGATTTAATAGCCAATCACATGAACATTCTGGAACCTACCCTGGTAGATTCCACAGGAAACCCTAGAGATGAAGGTATTCTCACTAGTTCTAACCGCACGTTTTCACGAGATCATTCAGCCTGGAACTTGGAGTGTTAATCTTTTCTTAGAGTCTCTTTGCAAAAGCATTCGCTGCAGAATGCCCTTGCTTATTCTATGTCAATGCACTAGTTGAACAAATGCAACATATTACAGAAAGCTGGATTCACACGTCTTGGGGATATTTTAGAGTTCATCGTAAGCAAAAACACTTCTTCTATTGGGGAATTTCAAATGCCATTGCAGAGTATAGCTGTGCTGACTATTATTTTACATTTCGCTGATAGAATGTTCGTATTGATCCAATAGTGATGCAGACAACTGAGCCCCTGGACCTGCTCTTACTGCCAGGTACCTCTACCGTTTACTGTTCATTTTAATATTCATACATGCTCCTTTAATTTGGAGTTGTTTCCCATCTAGGACTAGGTTCTCGGAATACTGAATTTATCAGTTTGTTTTACAATCGATACGCTGTCTTTGACATTGTTATCCTGATGGGTAAACTTTGGTCTCTGATTGGACAGGATTGGCTTTCGATCGAAAGGGGGGCCGCCTTGGACGTGGTGGAGGGTAAGGTTTGCATGTGTATATGGATATTTATTTTACCCTCGTAGTGATCCGAGAATATCTGAATGTTTTGCAAGGAGTGGGTATATCTTCCCCAAGTTGGTTTTCAAACTGTCAACGTTGCTCTCAAACCAGAGTTTCTGGTTATGTTTTTTGGACCATAGCAGCGCAACTTTTGTGAGATTTCGGACTTGAATGCCGCTCTGGAGTTGAGTAGTTTCTTTGAGAGCTGCCAAAATACACCAGGGATTACGGCACCAATAAATTTTCTTTTCTGACTGAATGTTTTGGTACTAACATGCAGGTACTACGACCTTTTTCTCCAAAATTATCTGCTTCTTGCTAAGGACAAAGGATGGAAGCGACCCTTGCTAGGTGAGTTTCCTAGGACATTGATGACTTAATGAGATTGTTGCCGGTGATGTTTACTTCAGCTTAGTTGAGTTGTTGTCTCATATGTTATCCAGCATCCGTGAGTAGAGTTTTAGGAGCACTTCTAATGGTCAAGCCGTTCCAATCAATAACCAGGTGTTTGTCTGGATTTCCGAACATCTGGCTTCACTCGAATACTTAGATCTAGCACCCGAATTTATTATTAGCTATTTTATACATACCATACAGATGATTGTAAGAATGTTGAGGATTTCATACCTGCCTTTCATATATATATATATATATATATATATATATGTTTCTTTGTTTAAGAAGTTTTACCTCCTGTCTCGGATGTTTTTCTGAAAGAGTACGTTGGGATTGCAGTTGCATTGTCATACAGTCCCCAGATCCGGGATGACGCTGTGCCTGTGGACGGTACTGACGTGAACATTGATGCCTTGGTGAGTAGAGATGGAATACTTGCCTTCAATTCTTCAGCTGAAAAGCAGATGAATCATTCATAGTGCCTTGAGCCGTAATGTGTTCTAGCAAGAACATGTATACCATCTGAGAATTCACTCCTTAGCAAATTAATACAATCCACGCACCACCCAACTCCATTGCTTTGTCACCTCCAGCTTGTGGTCTCGTTTCTTGTAGTACTACGATTTATAATGTTTTTGGCGCACCACACATGTTTGCATGGAATGGCTACATTGGTAGCTTTAGCTCCGGAACCCCTGATTTTCACGGAAAGATGGTGCAACGCAAATATACTAGATCTTGGTTTCACTTTGACAGTTGTACCTTGCATTTCTGAAGTCTCAGCCTTAATTTCTTCCAAAAATGTTGAGCACAAAGCACAATCTATGATAACCTTTTTGGAAACCTAAAATGAATTCAAGGTACTTTTTATACAAGTTTTCATGGTTACTAGAATGGAAAAAGTGTCATTGAGGAACGGAAAATTTATTGTTGTGAAAAAATGTACAACGGCAACTATTAAAATAATTCGACATTTATAATACTTAATTAATTCAATATATGTAAATATATATAATTTTTATTTAGGAAACGTTTAAGTTAAATTTGTAGTGAATATGTGTATATATATATATATATATATATATATATTATTTTTATTGCTAGAAGAATTTTTAAAATTCACTTGAATATAAAATATTTTACAAGTTTAAAATAGCAAAACAATTACTCCAACAAATATTGTTATAGAATAAAACTATTTGTATATTTATATTTATAAAATTCTTATAAATTCAAACATCTTTCCTAACAAATTTATTATGATTACATAATTTGTAATACACATGTAATAATAAGACTACATAATATATTAAATTAACAATGATATTGAAAAATAAATTTATAAAATTATTTTATTAAATAACTACACTAAAATATTCTTATAACTCTATCAATGCCAAGATTGATATTTTAATGTTTTTTTCTGCTTGGTTTTGTTCCACAAAGTTGTATAACTAAATTAGAAGTTGTGTTATAATGTCTTAATTCATTTGGTAATATGTATGAAAAATGAAGATTAAGTAATTTCTTTATCACTTATTAATAATTACTAATTCTTAACATAGAACTAATAACTTCTTATTGCTTAATCTCTTATTGATTTCTTGGTAGTTTTAGTATTGAAATCTCATATTATGTAGATATTGTCTCAATTAAAATTGCTTAGATTAAATTCTAATTTGTCAATTGTCTTAAAATAAATGAGGGAATTGTAAAAGCAAGACTAGAAGCTATGCTTAGCTACTACCATCTATTTATATATGAAAGGTTCTAGAATAGTGGGATCTTATGTCCTTTAAAGAATATTAAGTATGATTAACTAATAATCTTTTCTTTAAAAATAAGTTATTGCATTTTTATAAAAATATTTTTCTTTAAATTCTCCTAATTCTAAATAGAAATATATCTAATCTATTTGTTTAACTCTTTGAGATTTATAATAAAAATAAAGCCTAATCTCAATTGTTGTTTTAGAAAAATCAATCTGGTCCTATTTTTGGAAGCAAAAATTACAACACGTGGATATTGGACTCTTATATTCTAAGATGTTTTTTCTCTCATATAGATGTAAGGATATAGATTCTTATTAGTTTCTTTCCTATCTCATGGTAACCATGTTAAATTCATCTACTTATTTTATTATTCAATTTTTGTTCATATTTTTATATTCTTATATTTATAGTATGCCTAGTGTCTAAAACATATATACAATTAATTTTGAGAAATTCATAGTTAAAAAAGATTATATTTCTTTGTATACTTTAAGATTGATTATTTGAAAAGAAGACACTTAGCATCTTTTTAATTCTTTGTCAAAATAAAATTTGGAATTTTATATTCAACTTATGATTGTCTCTTCCAAAAAATACCTAATTTTATTAGATGAAATTTTATTGATTGAATTAATTTTTTAAAGTAGATTCTTTAAGACTATAAAAATTAGGATCTATTATTTTTATATAACAGTAACAATAAATAAGTCAAATTTGAACACTCACTCTTAAAAAGTGCAAACTTTTGTTATGGTTTTATTTGAATTTAGTATGTGCCATTTTCTTGCAATTTTGAAGTTGGATTCTATTAAGAAGTCCCATTATTCAAAGATATCTTTAGTTTTTATTTAAGTCCTATTTTTTGTATCTAAAGTAATGATGGTTTTAGATTTAAATTTTTTTAAAGTTTTCTTTTGTCAAATCTAACAGCTACAAAAACATTTAAGTATTCTTTTCTTACAAAACATTCTTTTCATCTAATTTCAAAACTTAGTTCAAATATTTCAAATAGTGGAGAAATAAACACCTAAAACTACATTTAATTACATCTAAAAGTTTTTCTTTTAACATTTTTATTTTTTATTTTCTTAATGAATTCATTCCAAACATACTAATTTTAGTATGCTGTGTGTTGTCCTCCACAATCTGTTGAGATTTGCCATTTCCACCAGCATGCCTTCCTACATTTTCTCCTTCCCTGCAACTACTCTCCTTGTTTGAATGTGCTGTATCATCTGCTGTGATCATGTTTACATGTGACAGACAATGTTGTACCAAATAAATCATCTCAATATGGTGCTTTTCATTGTAGCATTATACATTGTGCTGTTGTGTGTTACACCTTGTTTCCTTAAAAATCCTAATTTCAAATAAACCTTCTGTACTTTAGTCAAACCCTCTTTGTTCATGCTCCAAGTATGACAATCAAACGGGCTTGTTTTTTGTGAGAGTAGAAGAGATCTGATCAAGAGAGTTGAAACATATTGTTGAGATTGTTACATAACTATCATTGGCAAGACGCTAGTGGTGTCAACGCAGGTCTGCAACGACTGTTGAGGCCTATTTCTGAAAAAAAAAAAAAAATTGACTATCTTTGTGATGTGTGATGTAGTGGATCAAGCACACAGGGAGAAAAATAAAAATAATATTAATAATAAGTAAGTAAACAAAAAAAACCCCCATATAGACTGATTGATGCTCTTTTTCTTTTTTTAGAGTACCCATAAAATGACTTTGCAATGTGGTAATCACCAGGCCAAAGGTCTATTTACTCATTGAAATAATACGAAATCAACCCACGCATGTAAGTACTGTAATTATAAGTTGACAAAGCAAAAGTGGATCAATGACATGTTGCAGTTTCCCACGTTTGCAATCACAAGTTTCAAATAATGGAGTTCATCAATGCTGATCGATTTGGAATTTGACAGCAATGCTTGGAATCTGAGGCTTTGAACAGACAATCTGACGAATAAATGATGTTTCCTTTACAGCATTTTTCTATTTTTGCGTTACTTGATTCGAGAAATTGTAGTAGGCTCAATCTAATTAAGACTGGAATCGCCTGAATATGATGCTTAATGTCGTAGAAGTTCTGTAGAGTACTCGCATTTGGACGAACTCCTATACAAGTGACCGCACCGTACAGAACTATACATTTGTAAGGAAAAAGGTTCTACGCATGATGAAACATATAACCACGTTCGACGCTGAGCTTCTATGCATTGAAAAAGAGATTCCGAAAAGAAAAAAAGGTATAAAACATCCATGTCTGTTGGTTGGTTGTGCTGCACATGGTCTGTTGCAATGATGGCCAAAACATAAGCTTCTGCCATTATTTCAAGTGACTCATGTACAGAGCAGGACCTCATGATTTTCCCCAGTCAACTGATGATGTTAAGTCTCTTTCACGGAAACTGTACATCAACTTCGGCAGCGGGCAGCACAAAGTTCAAAGCGGAGAGATGTCGGAACATTCTTGAGAACTAGCACAAAGTTTTGAGAATCCTTAAATGGTGTACAGGACTTGAATCTCTGATATCATAAAGATTTGCGTGCAATATCACACTGTTACTTAAATTCCAAGTCATCTCGAAGTGTAATAAACGCCTACTTCAGGCAACGACTTCTTTGTGAACGTGGAAAAAGTGGCTATTTCCATGCTTTTGATCCTTGTCTAATGAGAATTATTGCAGATATGCCATTGAGTGACATGTCAATGGAACAGCAACCGCATCGTCGATTTGTGTGACACTCTGGCTACGACGGACTACCACTGAAATGCTGCAAGTGCAACAGTGCTCTGCTGCTATTTTGGGGATTACGTTACAGTCCAACTGCATGTAGACATTTCGAGACGGACTGCAGAAAATCTGAGCTCCATTTCGTCACACAATATTTTCAAATTCAGACTCTTTTCAAGTTAAGTGCAGGTTCTCTTTGCTGGAAGTCAGATGAGGGTTAGGTTCAATCCGGTACTCATGTCATAGAATCATCAATTACTCAGTGCATTAAGCATGACGATACGCGGGATGTATCTAGCCGTAGAATTTCAGTAAGGTTCATTCGAACCACTCAGCGTTCAATGTTGTGGTTTACGGCTATACTGACACCTGCAATTATCAAGTTTAAATCTAACGTTACCTAGCCGTTCGAATTTCACGTTGCTTCACTCAGGAAGCCTGAGATACACACGAGGGACCATGTAAACAAACATACACAACAATCGGAAGCTCTCTTACTGTGAATGGCACAGGTAGCAAAAAAATTGGAAGGTGATGGTAAACCTGTGAATCATGATAATGGCGAATAATCACCAAACTGGACTACGTGCAGACCGTTTCGGATTCACCGTTACTATTCTAGATCTGCCAACCAAGTCATGAGGCTTTCAGCTTCAGAACCAAGTATGTTGGTGCAAGAGGCTGGCTAGAAGAGCTATCACCGTAGGTCCGAACGCAACTGTGTGATAGAATACACCACTTTCTGCTCGTAAAGCTCTATCATGTTCTACAGCGAAGACCTACTGCTCATAATTCAGTGAAGAATTTACACAATCACCAACCTACAAACCAGCAATGCATGTCAAAATCCGGAAGAGCTCCATAGGCGCAGAGAAGAAAACTGCGTGGTCCCCATTTGGCATACAGAACACTTTCTCCGGCGGGTTGTTGGCAATCATCTCGTCTTGATGAGCAGGGAGAACTCCCTCGTCCTTGCCCGTCCGGATGTAAAACCTTCGTACAGTGCCGAATTTGGCAGGAGTCAAGGGTAGCGTTTCAGTCCCAGGGGCGTACGGTGTATCAGTCACTAAAACTTTCCCCAAGTTGACATACTGTTTACAATCGAACAGCGATGTCAGAGACGGCATTGGAAGCATTGATATAAGTAAAGACCTAGCAGGGAACAGGCCACGTCATTGCAAATGAGCCCCGACAGAATGATATACTAACCCGTTTGGGCGTCTCACTCATGTAAAATTCTTGCAGAGCGTTTCTGTTCAGACTGGCAGAAGTTGGGTTGGAGTTGGGCCCATTTTTGAAGTTCAAAGTCACGTAACCAGCATTGATCAGGTTGGGGAACGTCTGCAGGTTCAATTCATCAGGATGAGAAACTCAATATATCAGGCGAAGCAGCGGGACTACAGAAAATGATGACCAGCGAGTGACAACACGATGTTGAACCTCAAGAAATCCGCTCACATTGGCCGGAAAAGCACTGAACATGCTTTGATTGTAAGACGGCGTGACCGCAGACAGGTAGATAGCTTTGATGACTTTGTTAGGGAACAACTCTGATGCGTATGCGATCGAGCCCCCTCCCAGACTGTGGCCCACCAGGATGACCTGCATGCAATATACCGAACAGGAAGCAAGTAAGTGCAACGAAAACCATCCCGACAAGCGATAAGACTCCAACCGACACCTCAAGATAAAACATCCGATTTCGAGGCAATACTTACTTCTCCGGAGACGTCGGTAAGGGCATCGATCAAAGGCTTGGTGTACTGAGCAACGGTAATGACATTTTCAGCAACAGCTTTGTTGATACCGTGAGAAGTAAGGTCTACTGCAATGGCCTTGTGTCCATAATGCTCCAGCAGGGTAATCATTTCATACCAGAACCAGGCTCCTCCTCCCATTCCGTGCACGAAGATAAACTGCTTGGGGTCGGAAGAAGTATTCTGTGCAAGATCACAAAAGAACTTACATGTCAAATGGTTGAAATATATTCCTCGAAAACTCGTAATCCATAACAACCTTCATCTTGAAATTCAAAAATCCATCTGTTTGCACCACGAACTTTGTTTTCATCAGGTAAAAATCTTTGTTAGACCAATGGAGTTGGCACTGATTAAGATGGGCGATCTTCATTGAATCAAGTCGCTTACGTCTCTCGTCAACCGGCAGGTGTTCTCGCTACAAGTACTCTGCGCCACTGCTATCGGAGAGCACAACACAAGGACCAGCACAGCTAGACACCTTCCAGCCTTGCTGAACAGTGCTGACGCCATTTTCATTAGTTGCAGAGTCAATTGAGCTCCACCTGCCAGAATCCACAAAGCATTCCTTTCAAATTCATGAACAAACTCTCCTGAACTTTCCAAATGTATGTCGCCGCTGAAATATGCTTACTAAGACGAGACAACGTATAGAGCACAAAGCCCAAACATACTGCAGAAAACATAATCGTTGAGAGACGCACAGCCTAAGTTTCCGGAGTGTAAAGTTGGGATTGCTATCAACACTAGATTGGTAAGCACTGTTGTACCATGAGAGAGTTACAACGGAAAAGCGCCTGAACTCTGCCAGGAAACCTTATCTCCACAAGAACATACTGGGCCCTTCAATCGACAATTTTTGGAGAAAGTTATCAGCAGTGTTGCAAAGAGTAAGACTGCCTCCAAGGGTTCCTATCTGTGTCAGTGGATACCTGCAAGCTCAAATTCGAACGAGAGGAGAACTTCGAATCAGAGGAGGATTGAAGAAGGATAATGGTGCTACGATGCGACACAAGTTGAAGAGCTCTGAAGGCACTCACTCCCATTGATGGATCACCGCATCAGCCGCACCTGACATGAGACATCGATCGGCTGGTTTGATGGTTAGAACGGTGGACTTCGATTCAAAACGGTGAACCTCGATCCAGAACGATGAAAGTGGATGGTCAGATTCGGCATATCAGTCTCAGTTTATAAGAAAGAATTTCGTATTCGAGAACTCTCATCAGAACCTACCTTGACTGTTACTCAACGAATCCACGTGAGTTTTACCAGGAAATATGACTAAATAAGATTTACAGTTGATGAATCTTTGGAAAGTGTGGTGCTCTCCGCAAATCCCGACCCATTAGGCTGTCTGCTTCTAGCAAGTGCATGTCTTGGTTGGCTAGAGCACCTCCCAGATCCCTAGAAGTCTGATAAGTTTAAAAAAATTCACTCTGAATCATTTAGGCAACACTGCTGAATGTGATGAGCAGCATACCAGCGACTACATTATTTATTTATTTTTTGGATGGGTGGACAAACTCACATGATAACGACCCACGAATGCAAGCACCATGTGTCACTGACTACTAAACCTAAATTCCACAAATGACGCCAGGCCACTGAATTATGCTATTTCTCAAAGGTGAGCAAAACGCCAGTTCAAGATTTCTAGACCGTAAAGGGCCTTCTACAAGGGGGAGCCAGGTGCGAAATCATGTGTCGTGAAAGTTTTGAGACGAGTTTCATAAAAATTACCTTTTCGCATTTTGCGTCGTGGGAATTTTTACGGCACTGTACTCTGTCGCTAGCTAAACCCCTGGTTGAAGAAGCATACAAATTGGACCTTTCTCCTGTGGTGGGGTCGGGTCCCCTTTTTGCAGTTTGTCACTATGTTGGTTGTCAATTGTAGATTATGCTGATATCGGCGCTCAGGATTAACATTCGAACCATCCAAGTATAGTGGATGCCAGTTGAGATGCCCAACAAGCACGCCCCCTTGCACGCACGGCAACTGATGGAAACCGTTGCCAAGCCTGCCAGCTCATAACTGAGTTGCTATTTTATGCGTTTACAGACGTTTAAATGTGGGCTAAGTGTGATGGCAACTAGTGAGTAATAAGCGCAACAATGTTCAGGGTTACACGACGATCCAGTCGTTTGACTGGAAAACCAATCATTGCCGTGGAATCCCTGTTCGGACACCTCCTCGTCGCAGTGTCCAAGCAATTGCGTGCAATTAGCAACTATGCGTGTGTGATCGCGGTGATTAGAATACTTGCTTCGCAACAGCATTGCATTTTACCATCCCAGAATATGGTTGAAGGAGGTCAATGGACTGAACTGCCAAAAGAATTTGAGTAAGTTCTATTGCACACCTTCGTAGTAGAGTATATATTCGGAGGTGTCAAGCACAGTCGTCGCTACGTCCACAGCAGGGCAGTTCTGGCATGTCCATCGCACCTACGCAATTTTACCGATATGCAGCAAACGAAGCCTGCTGTGAGTATGAGAGCTCAGTGAGATCACAGTTCATCTCTTTTTCTTTTCTTTGTCGTTTTTGAAACAACTGGGGTAAGCCTGTCGCTTTGACAGATCGTAGTCCATCTCTTCATCTACTGACTGAAGCGGTCTTGTGCGTCAGAGGCAACGAAACTAGTGACTACACATAATATTTACCAAGATAGCCCAAACGCTGAACGTTGTCAAACGTCATCTAGGTACGGAGGTCCCACAGTTGGATCTAGATTCGTCAACACCAATACACTGATATCCAATCCCGGAAAGGTAGTTCTCAGAAATGAAAAATAATGACAAAAAGGCCTTGTTAGGCCTTCCTGTAAAGGCCATCACTAAACATTGTTGGGAGGCGGTCACGGAAGCATCGGCGACGGCGTCGGGATGCCGTCCGCGGCTGCCGGGTTCAACTGCGTGATTCAGTTCGAGTACACTATGTCAGGCTGGATTCCACCACGCCGTTACTCGTGGATGGACCTGCCTCCGCAGCCAGGTTGACCACCTTCCTGCCAGAATCACTCTATCCTCACTGTAGATTGATTCTACCAAATCCTGGCAATAGGGCTCGCGTCAGCCATAGCCCTCCCCCTGTGCTCGCTGCAGTCAGATTCTCTCCTGCATCACAGGTTCGGATGATGAGCAATGCCGATCCAACCTTTGCACCAAGTCCATGCTTGATCAGCGCGCATTGCTTGCTGAAATTCATTCATATCTGAGCATTGCAGTGTCCAACGATGAGCGACGTTGGTGGTGTGTAGAATCACTGCATCGACTTGATCGACTGGTAATAGTGTTAGACAATTACTATATGTTTATATGTATATGAGATCCAGGAATGGCTGCAAAATCACTGAAACCGTGATACAGAACACAAAGAAGGTGCAAAGACTTGGAGAGGGTCAGTTCTCATATTGATATTCACTTCAATATGTATTCATGTATTTTGTTCCCCTTACCAAACATAATACTAATATGGAGCCTAAGAAGCCTATATCATATAGCAATATCATGACCTATCAATCAAAAAAATTGGTAAATTCTGAAGGTCTAATTACACCTAAGTAAAATTGCTATTAAATATGGACATATTTATACCATAATAAAGCTTAATACCATAGACATGTGCATTATAGACATTGTTTTCTTAAAATACACAAATTGTCTTATCTACAAATATGATATACATCACATTATTAGTATAAGACTTAAGTAGCATAGAAAGCCAAATAATATAATCTAGTACAACATTGTATACTCTATCATTCCAATTATCTACAAAAGTATTAAAAATAAATACAACTTACAAGCTATTATTATTTACAACATACAAAAAGTAAGACAAATAATATATTTTTTTAATTTTCTATTAGCATACAAATTTTAGAATTTTAATTATAAATTTTATATTTAGATTTTTTAATATTTATTTATTTCTTAATATAATAGATCTTTATTTAAATAAATACTAAAAAAAACCTTATGACATAGACATATATATATTTATCAAGATAAGAAGGATTAAATAGAAGATAAATATAGATAGATTTGATATTATCTTTTGGTGTAGCTTCTTAAAAGCTTCATAGATGCATATTTGACTTTTGATGTATTTATAGTTGATTGATAGGTTAAAAACTTGGCCAACAAGTTAGTCACATGTTGCTTGTGCTAATAGCTTATAAAACAAATTAATTATGTGGTGCAAATATAAGAAACTTGTCTTATAAATTAGATACAAGTTTCACAAGTTTATTCTATAGAATGTTACTACATGTAGTGATTCAAAAAATTATTTCAATGTTGACATATTTTGGAAAGAATAGTATATTACAAATGAATTGTAGTAAATAATTACATGTGGTTTGTATAATAAATAAAATATTCTTTTATAGCTACCAAATAAGCTTAGGTTGAAAAGAATCCATTAGGTAATTGTAGAGCTATGACAAATCCAATTTGGAACAATATTGAAATAATTTTTTGAGTGTGGTATCCAATTATATATCAATACTTTGTAGGACCTCTTTTGGCCTTAATAATTACTTTCAACCTCTAAGGTATACTTTCTATTAACTTTTGGTATAAAATTGCTTCAATATTATTCCATTCTACAGTTATTTTTTCTCATAATTTCCAAACTCCTTTTGGTTTTATCTTCCAGGTATTGAATTAGTATTTGAGGTGCTTCCAAAGATGTTCAGTGGAATTAAGATTAGGGAACTAAGTAAGCCAATCCATTACTTTAATCCCATGATGATCAAATCACTTCCATGCTAGTTTTGAGTCATACTTGGAGTTGTTATCTTGCTGAAAATTCACCTCTTGCTTAGAAATGCCAAATTCTCCAAATTCTACCATCCTTCCAATCCTATTCTGTTCCATACAATCTCAAATCATTATATTTTCACCTCCATGCTTAATTGTTTCTTGGATCTTCTTATCAAGGGAGAATTGATCATTTTTTTTTAACACCCATTGTTTGCCATTTAATCCAAATCTGTTGATTTTTGTCTCATCTGACCAAATAATCCTCTTTCAATCCTCCATAGTCTATTCTTTGTACTTCACAGCAAAATCCAAGGATTGTTTCCAATAGCAAGTAGATAGAAGTATTTTTTTTCTTCTTCACCACAACTTTCATATTCTATTTCTTAAAAATATTTCAAATGGTTTGGGTTCACATAAGATTACTGATAATATTGTTAAGAATTTTAGTAATGTCAATAGCATTTTCAATCTTCTAAGTATTGATTTGACAAATGATTTTTCTTTCATCTATTATGATGAGTTTATTTGGTCTATCTAATTTTAGATTCTTTCTATTAAAAGTAATTTTTTTATTAGCCTAGAAATAGTAATATTACTATAGCCAAGTTCAAAAGCAATTTGGCCATAAGATTTTTGAGAATGAAGAAAAGCAAAGGTGATGTTGTCTTGGAGAGAGTGGAGAATGGGTCTCATAGTTGTTCAATGAATTGTCAAGGACATAAGAATCTGACCAAGAAATATGTCAAGATTAAAGAAGAAGAAGATTGAGATTAATAGCAAAAGTGGTTCCAAAGACTCCTCTTTATACTATAATGAAGGTTATAGAAGTCTATGGTACTTTCTATGGAAGTTTCTAGAAGTCTAAAGAAGCTTCTAAAAGTCTAAAGAGACTTCAAGAAGTCTATGAAACTTTCTAAAAGATTGTAGAATATTCTACAAGTATTTAAAAGTTTTTAAAAATTTGCAAAAGATTCTAGAAGGTCCTAGAATGTAGTAATTTGGAATATGTCCGTACCAAAAATTGTGATTGAGAATGGTACTTTTATAGCTGCTAGTAAGTATTAATGATGTTATTAGATTAATAATAGTATTATTATAGTAAATCTGATGATGGTAGAATAATATAATATTGAGTAATTGATAAAATCTAAAAATTAGACACCACATTTGAAAAAATTTGTTTCAATACTACTCCAAATTAGATTGGTCATAGCTCCACAATTACCAAATGGATTCTTTTCAACTTGGGCTGAATTAGTAGCTGTAAAAGAATATTTTATTTGCTATACAAACCACATATCATTATTCACTATAATTCATCTATAATACACCATTCTTTTTAAAATATGTCAATATTGAAATAATTTTTTGAATCACTATAGGTTTTGATTAAATAATATATATGGAATCAAAAG